ATAATGCTCAAAACTGGACATAGACACATCGGACATTCTGGTCCGGTGTAAAAAATGACGCATCGGACCAGAGGCACTGCACATCGGTCAGGTCTGACGGTCCGATGTCTTTTGCATAGACTGGAAGTCAAAGAAATAGTGTTTTATTTATGGTGGAAATTTTTTATACATGCTATTATTGGGGAATTTAAAATGAATATTCATATTTTTCTTGAAAAAGCATTTAAAAAAAATTAGGGTCAGCTACAAAATAGGGTGGGTTCACTGGGTTGTGAAAGTGGAAACAATTTTGCCTAACAACACCACAGCCTAACATTTTGACAAATGTAAATGTACCTTAATGATAGCTGATGATCCATAAGTTGGATATCCACAGCATGAAAAAGCTGCTGAAATGGCATGGACATTTTAGAGCATCTGTCATATCACCCCCAGTTCCATAACCCTCCTTTCAAGTTTCCAGATAGCAGATATTAAGGGTTCCAGATCCTGTTCCATCTCAACTTCATGTTCAATGTCCACAATATTAGGGATACCTATTCAAATAATATACATGTACTACTAAATCTATATAGCTGAGATTTCTTCCCTATCACTGCATATATATATGTAAATGTAGATGCAGTATATACAAAACGAGTGTTTTATTTTATTTTTTGTGTGGTCTACATGATTATGATTGAGTTTCACATACTCTATAATATTCATGAACTCGGAAGAAAATTCAATTAAAAAAAATGATTATAGTCAAAATTGCAATTCAGACACTCCACCATCAACATAACTTGGAAATTAATAAGGAAAGAAATAATCTTAATAAAAAGAAAAGTCCTGTTTTAGGCCAAAGAATTTAGTGGTAAGTATTATTTTGTGTTGTAGTGTAGTGAATTTTTTATCTAGTATGTTTTGGAAGAAAATATTGTCTAGACAGTGTCCAACACCTTGCATCTGGTTACCTTCAAATTTCATTGAGTTATAACTGTGTCTCATATGACTTGACATTTATAATAAATTATTGTTTCTTTTAATATATTTTCTATGTTTGCTAAATTTAAAAGCATCAATACATACATGTAGACATGATAGAGTACATGAAACTCGAAATGTTTTTCAAAAATCAAGTGCACCTGAATAACATCAATAAATTTTTGATTTTTTATTGATTCACCAACATTCCAAAATGCAATCATGTCACACAATATAAAAATAAATTACAAAACAGAATTGTATATAAATCATGTAAATTACCCCCTCATGTGTGCACTGGTAACCAGTGGTATTGTTTTTATTATTATATAGTGTAGTGTTCTTTATCCCTTTTTCGAATCTATATTGCAAACAACAACTAAGGAAGAATATAACAAATTTTAATCTCAAAATCTCTGCTTTTTTTTTTTTGAAAAAAAAACTTTAACATGAATCGTCACTAATTTATAATGTTGTGTGTTCACTCATGCCCCCAATTCAGAAAAAAGTACCCAGTTCACTCATATATATATCTCTATCTTTTCTAATACCGGTATTTTGCTGAGCCACAATCACTTTTACTGAATTTCTGAGGTAATATTACTTAAATGGTGTCAAATACTAGAGACAAACCTGGGCAGATCGTTTTTGCTAGGCTAGAGTTGTCGTGCGTTTGTGATTCGAATGATGGGTTTAATCTTTGCACAGTAATTTTCAGTCAGACGCAGCTCACCATCGCCTTTTTTTGAGTCAAAGAAGCCTTGCTGTACCGCTGAATAGATTTGGTTGACGAAAATCCTCGTTTTCTCCGCATTTCATTCTTTTCGAAACATCCGCTTTATTTACATTACCGAAAAGTAAAATAAGTCGTAAAATTACCTCGACTTGTTGTTAGTTTGAATCCAATGAAACTTTAGTCACATTTTATATGATTTTATATCAAGTATATCTTTAAAATAAGTTGCATTGTAAATTTTATTTCCAACTCTACTAAAGAGATGAACGACATAAGATTCATTTACGTCATTCGGAGTTGCGCGGTGGATTCAAAATCGTCACTACCATACGTCCTTAAGCCCCTTTATAGATCCATTGAATAAAACTAATTGTGGTGTAGCATTCCACCTTAAATGAATTCAGTACGAGTATAGTCTCCATTGTCATGTACTGAGATTATCTTTTTTCTTTCAAATGTACACAAAATTAAGATATCTTAAAACTGGTGGTATAACTATTAGCCATATTCATTTAGATATGTAAATAAAACAGGATTTGAAAGTATAGCATAAATAAATCAGGGGCGTAGCTACATGTAGATACATGTAAGGCACTGGTGGATTAAGAAGGGCTTGGGGGGTTACGCCCCCTTAAATTTTCAGAAACTGGGTTACATATGTGTTAATATATTTAAAAAAAAAATGATTTTAAAATGTGCATATAAATTCATAAAATAAAAGCTTTGACTCTCTTGCAAAAGCAGCATTATTTGATTTTTAATTAATCATTTTTGCCACAATACAAACCTGCTATCAGTTTCCTAAAACAAGCAGAAAAATAAATAAATAAATAAATAAATAAATAAATAAATAAATAAATAAATAAATAAATGAATAAATGAATAAATAAATAAATAAATAAATAAATAAATAAAATCAAGACATTTTCTTAAAAAGATGTCAGTAGCTGTTCTTGTCTTTCAGAAATTCTTTTACGTGTACAGTTGTATTGTCATATGGAATACCCAAAGTCCAGATCGAGAAAGGGGTGTTTTAACACATCCTTTTTTATTTTATTGCTTATAGATTAAAATTAATTTATCACATTGTAAATTTCGAGTAAATTTATTTTTATTTTAGTGGAGTTAGGGGCGGTCATTTTTTCATGTTTTTTGCATTGAATTTCAATATTTGGGGAGATGGAAAAAATAAACCTAGTTCGAAGGAAAATTCCCTGAAAGAGATGTGTTTTAGAAATAATAACGCCTGTACGAACCGTTTTTCAAATTCTATAAAATATGGATACTCTTTTTGGATGTCTTTAAACGCCTTAAATTCATAAACCTCGGAAAATCAAGAGTAGTATGATTTTTTACATGTATATGTAAAAATGTCGATTGTGGATCGGCAAGAATTATACGCACTTTTTCTTCTGTGGCTGATGAAGACAACTTAAAGAATTTCTTGGGAAAATAATTGACAACGTCGCTTAGTGAAATGTCTGAAGCATTATTATTATTATTATTATTATTATTATTTTTTTTTTTTTTGTATAAATTTTTTTGAGAGGCCGTTTTAGGAATAAATCCGAAATTAACACAAATCTAAAATCATTCAAATTCAGGACATACTGAGGGCCTTATGGCAGCCCCTAAACCTCATGCCTCTGAAAAAAAAAAATAAATTAAGAATTCTATCCAACCAGGGATCCTCCCAATGGGGGGTATCCGTACCCCTACCTTGAAGTAAAAAAATCACATTTTAATACTTGCATGCATAATAAAGATTTTTGGTCTTTAGACACATATTGTATACATGTACATGTATTGCACCTCTTCCTGACAAGTTTCCAAATCTAGCCTATACATGTGCATAATAATTATTATATATAGATTATACCTATGTCAATTCTAATTTCTTAAAGGGAAAAGCTCCCAGATCTATATAGGTACTCTAAGCAACAGGTGAGAATCTAATGGACGAGAGAGAAAAATGATGCCCCCCCCCCCTTTTCAGTGGCAGGGGGATCTGGGACGAAGCCCTGGTGGGGCGGGGTCGAAGTCCCCGGAAACTTCTGAATTTTAGTGATTTGGGGAGTAAAATTTTACTTGATCTTATTATTAGCCTTCATAAGTGTATAGCTACATCCCCTCCTACAAACACATTTTAGTATATCAATAATCCAATCATGCAAAATTTCACAATCAGAATATTTGTTTCTAGTCAAACTTATTTGCTCGTCATTGCGTGATTTGCATGACTTTATCTACCACTATTTCTTGGATATGAGTCCCCCCACCCCCTGTCTTTCATCGTGTGTGACGATGCATCTCACCAATGCATGTCATTTCGCTTTTTGTAACTATCAATATATTTGCAATTAACTTTAGGTTTTCTGAGTCAGAATAACTGACTTTCCTTAATTCAGCAAATGACGGAGACAAGAAAATTAGATGTTTATATGTACATGTAAATTAATTTCAGTATCTTTAAATTTCATATAATACTATCAGTTAAAAAGAAAAAAAAGAAAAAAAAAGCTACATATGCATATTCCTTAAACGGCCTTTCTCAGATTCATATCTTTATCACAGAATTTTCCCTCCGAACTAGGCTTATTTTTTCATTTTCTCCAAATATATGCATCTACATTTATATATTGAAATTCAATGCAGAAACATTAAGAAATGAACCCCTAAATCAAATATGAATTTACTCTAATTTTACCATGTGATAAATTAATTTCACACTAAAATCAACACAATAAAAGAGTATGTATTATAAACACCACTTTTTCTGGACTTGGGTATTCTTGCTTCTTGCTTGAAACGTAATTCACACCACTTTTTCTGGACTTAATTGGGTATTCTTGCTTCTTGCTTGAAACGTAATTCACCTAATGCTGCTTTTGCAAGAGTGCCAAATCTTTTATTTGTAAATAAAACTCTTTCAACGTATTTTGATATTAACATTTTAATATCATGACAGTTTTCCCTTATATATTTATACACATAGAACCCATTTTTGGAAATTTTAGGGGAGGGGAGTGCGCCGCCCACGCCCCTCTAAATCCGCCAGTACCTTCCCCCTCTTTTCCAATGACCCCTGTGAGCAGGTTTTTTAAGACTTCGTGGGTTCGATGATCTTCCAATTTTATCAATGTAGAAAATGCATCAAAAGCGGAGCCAGGCAAATGAAGTTATCTTAAAACATGTCTATTTTGCCGTGTAGGTCTGTCTGTTCAGTTTGATTCCCCATTTTCTGTCATTAGTCGAAGCCCGTTCCACATCACTGAATAAACATCGTCTGTCGAATGGCCAAGAAAATCACGGTGGCAGAAGCGCGGAGACCTACTTTCATTATGTCGGAGTGTTACAGCTTAAATTTCTTTTGTGGAATTTACAGACGATGCAAATGATATATTTTATACAGGATTTAAAATGCCTGGAATTGTTGTTTTCAAAAGAAGATGGTCGGCAGGTTCCGATGATTTTGTTCTGCCAGCCTTGTTGTTGATGATTCTGCATGGAATATGGTGGGTTTTGTTTTTTAACCACAAATCACTGGATGATATTTAACATTTTAAGTAGCAATTAACTAAACTTAACCGTACAACAATAAGCTATTGTTGCTTAGGTGTGGAATTTTACTTTACTTCTTTTTTTCTCGTCGTAATACAGTTTATAAATTAGTAGCACATGTTGTTTATCATTTTTCTGGGGCGGATCAAAGATAATGCAGTACATTTCTATTATTTTAAGTTCAGGTATTATGCATCTGGTTTTTATACTGGCATCTTCCAACATCAAGGGATTCAAAGTTATATATAAAGAAATATTATGTGTTGCTGATATTTTTAGGAGAGAAAGCAGCAAGCCAGTCAAAGTATTCAATTTTGTGTCAAAAATTCTAAGTCAGTGTGTGTTAATTTGTAGTCTAATCATCATTCAGTTTCTTTGATAAAAGCTATGGTAATTCATGAATATTTCTCCAAGGATTCTATGTTTAGGAGTGCCAGTTTGATATTACTCACATAAAGGAGGGTGCCCAGTTCCTCCCATCCCCACCTTTTTTTGCCTCATCCCCCACCTCCTCCTACCCCCTTTTCTTTCTCACCCTGTCTTCTATCTCTTCTCATCCTATAATTATAAAGCCCCCCACCCCTTTTTTTTGTGAAATTATATTCTACATGTTTACTTAATTTGATACATTCTGGCATTCTACATTGTGTAAATTGTACCTTGTAAAAAAGTTACCATGACAATTAAAAAGCTACTACAAGGAGGTCTGATTATTGTAACAAAATCATTTTTATTCTAAGTTATGCATTTTTGGAAGGGGAGAAATGAATCAGATATTGCTTATATATTTAAAATACCATAGTCCAACACTAGAAAATTTCTGCATATTAAACTTGGTAGGAGATCTTTGACCTCTGAGTTCCTTGAGATCTCTGGCTCACACAGGTCAACAGGGGATGCTTACACCTCCTATGCACCTGATCCAACCTCTGGAATTTCCAGGGGTCCGTGTGTTATGCCCTCTTCACATGCATGTATTTGCATTGTTTGTGGATTTTTTGAGATCGATCAGTTCATTATCTTTACCTTTTACAGCAAAGCCTAACAGACATCCCCCATCTCTCACTCCTCAAATAGAAAAAAGGGAAAAAAAGCCTTGATATTTGTTGATATTTGATATTTGCCAATCAAAATAATATTAAGCATGCTTTTAGTTGTTCCATGTATGTTTTTTCCTCATCCATTTGTCGATAATTGATGAGTAAAAAATAAAGTAAAAATTTAGAATCCAAGTCCTTGTCATCAGTGAGTACTAAAACCTGATAAGTGAAGGAAGTCAAGATACTTTTTTCCACATATTTCCACATATAAAGTCACATCTGGTATAATTATTATTTGTTAGGCTTATTCTTCCTCCATCCTCTAGAAAAGGAAATTGATGTTTTAGTTATGGTCCATTAAAATAATTACTGCCATCACGATTTTAAAGTGACTCCCTGCAGCATGTGAGGTGAAGTATGCTGGACCAAGTTTGCTTCTAAATCCCCCCCCCCCCCCCCCCCCAAGTAAAAAGAAAATATTGTTACAGTAAATAAGCAGTGATTGCACTGTAGTGCCCAATGTAAAAGGTATTAATACATGAAATTTGTATTAGACAAGTTAAACATGTTAAATTGCAGGTACAAATTGTGGTATGTTGAATTTTTATGTGCAGCTAAATTAGTTCATTAATTTTCAACTGTACAATGAGTTTTTGAGTCCCCTCCATAAAAATCAATGGTATTAAGATAATTAAATTTTGTAATGATCAAGTTTGAACACTGTTACGTAGATTGTGCTCTGTATATATTTTGATAATTAATCATCTGATGATCTCATTGACAAGATTCTGAACATGAAACTACTGTAACAATTAAGTACAAATCTGTGAAAATATACAGCCTAGACCAATGTGTTGGAAAAATTGTTATCTTAATGGTTATATTGATTAAAAAAAGAAAAGAAAAAAAAATCATTAAACCTGTTAAAGAAACTTCAATGCATCAACAACTAATCTTGAGTATGTTATGTATTAAGTACAACTGTCATTTTTCAGTTAATGGAGGGGCCACAATTAAAGGTCAGTAGGACCACCTGAGGGTGTAATAACCCTTGCATCCTGGAGGTCCTGTAAAAGGACCCTGTCCAAATTGAAAATTTAACACCTAACCCCCTCCCCCCACCCCACCCCCATAATTTAGGTAAAAATTCCCAAATGACACAGATTGATTTTTTCAGTGCTTTTTATTTAAAAAAAAAAAAAAAAAACTAGACGTTTGAGATTTTAATGATTCACAAAGATGTGGATAAGAAGTAATATTCCTCAAAGTAATTCTTTATTCAACAGTAAAGCTGAATAAAAGACATGAATATTTCCAAATTTTGCCACTTTTTCTTTTAAAAATTCCCAATGGAAAGAGTACAGGACCCTGTACAAAAAAAGGGTCAATTAAGCCCTGAAGACTATCACACAACTGTAAAATTTTTAAATGTCAAATTTTTAATGGACTATATCCAAAATAAATAAGCCATCTAGTACATATACATGTATATTTACTTACTACATGTACTATAGGGGCAATTTGAGAAATTACAAAATGACTAACAAATATTATATTTAAGAAATTTTTTTTAAAAAACTTATTCTTATTTTTCACATATGCACTGCAGCACATTTTAAGGAACCAACATACAGTATAATTTAACTGAATTTTTTATTATTTACCTGTATTTTTGGTTGCCCACTTGGCCCAGTGGTTAGAGTGTGTTCAAACTAGAGTTGCCGCTTAAGGAGTTATCCTTACATTGGGGTTTCGAATCCAACGTGGAGACTCAGGTCCTTCGGATGAGATTATATAAACCATGGTCATGTGTCACAGTAGGTACTGGCACGAAAAAGATCCCTCATTGCTCAAAGGCTGTAAGTGCCGAGTACAGTTGTAGATTTGCATGCCCTTCACCGGCAAGTGGTGGCGTTTAAATATATAAGTGAAAAATTTTTGAATGGACAAACAAAACCTGTATTTTTGGGTCAAAACTGTGTAAATGAGTAAATTAAGTGAATTAATTCTTAGTTCATGTGTAGTTTGCTGGGTTCTATCCATTGAGATTTATTGCATTAAAATGACTGCATTTAAAACAAAATATCGGGAACTATTAAAATGAGAGTAAAACAATTAAATAAGTTGTATGTAAAATATTTCCAATGCTAAAAATGGATGTGCACTTTGGCAAAACCATGCAATGGTTGATTTAATGCACCATTTTTCACTCCTTTGCAACTTTGATGCAAACTCTCCCCAATCACTGATTTTTGAAAGAAACAGATTACACTATATTTTTGATGTCAAGTGCTGTTTTTTGATACATGTCACAATGAAGAGATTCATACTCATCCATGTCAATTGATGAGAAAATGAACTGTTTTCTTATTTGTTGATAAAATTGAAGGGAAAATAACTGGAAATGTAAATATTAATGTATAAAGCATTTGAATGTATCTAATAGTACATGTACTTGTTTAGAATATGAATCAATAATTAATTTTATGATCCTGAAGTACTGAGGAAGCAATAATTGTACTATAGCATGTATAGTGTGAGATGAGAGTACTGTATTTTGTATACTATCATCTTTGTTTTTACAGTACATGTATATAATTTAGGAGACTGCTCAATTTGATAAATTTGTCTACATAGATTTAATATATGGAAATTTGCTGTTGACAGCAATTAAGGTAATAGTTCTATTCTAATAGGCACAGTAAATTAGAATTCTGAAAATAAGCAAACACTTCATATTTTACCCTACCGGTCAAAGACCAGAAGAGCTTGTAAATTATGCAATAGTAAAGTGTCTGTCATACATCGATCTGTTTACCTGTCTGTCTTACATACATATGTCTAACTGTCTGTCATACATTGATCTGTCTGTCATACATCTGTCTGTCATACATCCATCTGTCTAGCTGTCTGTCATACATCAATCTGTCTAGCTGACTGTCATACATCTATCTGTTTAGCTGTAAGTCATACATCCATCTGTTTAGCTGTCTGTCATACATCCTATTGTCTAGCTGTCTGTCATACATCTGTCTGTCTAGCTGTCTATCATACATCTGTCTGTCTAGCTGTCTGTCATACATCTCTCTGTCTAGCTGTCTGTCATACATCTATTTGTCTAGCGATTGTCATTCATCTGTCTAGCTGTCTGTTTACATCTGTCTGTCTAGCTCTCTGTCATACATCCTATTGTCTAGCTGTCTGTCATACATCTATCTGTCTTACATCTGTCTGTCTAGCTGTCTGTCATACATCCATTTATCTGTCTGTCATACATCCATCTAGCTGTCTAACCAAACTGTTTGCCTGCATGATGCCATTAGTCTGAAGGCAACACATTTATTTTGAGGGTTTATTAACTTTTACCTTCTATTATGTCATAGCTTGCACTGGCTTATACCCCCCCCCCCCCCCCCCAGGTAATTATGTATTTGTGATTTAAAATGTAATTTTTTTATGCAAATTACAATGTAGATATACAGCTGATCTTGCCTCTGCTGAAGAATAATTAAGGTACATGTGATGTTAAAAAAAAGTCATAGCAGTCCAATGTACATCTCACAGACGTTCAACATCCTCCCAGCCAGTCCAATGTTGTTTTTTTTTTTTTGGTTGCTCAGTTAAACATAGGAAACTTTTTAAGTATAGATTTGTAAACATGATAAAAGAAACAATTTTTAAAGATTATAACAATAAAGGTTTGTTAAACAGTGTTGCTGTGGTATTTAAATTAAGAATAATGGGTGAAATTCATTCAAAATCTGCACCCCAGTTTTGGTCTCATTTCAATAAACGTGAATTGAAAGTTGTGGTTAATCTAGCTGTATAGTTTAATTGATAACATTTTGTGACATTATAAAGTTAAGTTCCTTTTTTATGTACTTGTAAATTACATAATTGCAATAAATATTACA